TTAGGTCTCTAAGAAAGAAACCTGGAGAGAGAAAGATGATTCAAACAAGCAGGTAGGCTGCAGCCCCAGGAGGAGGGGAGCAGCAGTACACAGCTGCGGAAGTGCTTTTGGTCGTCGCCTGAGACATGAATGAATGAAATAAAGAGAAAAGACTCTTGAGACAATGTTTTCTTAAAAGTAATATGGAATCTAATTTCCTTAAGTAACATTCTTCAAATTTGTATTGAATTTTTCATTCATTCTTATGTGCAATGCTGAGTCAAAATGATTCTGGTATATCCTTAGAGTGAAACACTAGTCTTTTAAGAAACTTCGGTGACTTTTGACATGTTCTAAGTAAAGGCACATGACGATGGTGAGGGATAAGTGGGCATTCCCACTTCCCTGAGTGCATTAAGTAATTCTGAATGATGTGAGCATCTGCTATGGGCCAGGCTTTAGGCTAACTGTGGAGTGCAGTCCTTAAACCTGGAGGTGTAAAGAGAGGCTGACCCGGAAACAGACCACGGCAACTTAGGGAGCCCAGCAGAGCCCAGCCGGAAGCAGGGCAAGCAGAGCTGGACGCAGCCAGGAAAGGTGTGCCAGGAAGCTTCCAGATGGCCAGGTATTAAGGTGAGGAAGTGCTCACCAGGTAGAGAGACAGGGAACTGCATTTCAGAAAGAGGCAGAATCTATGAGGAGAGCTGGAGAAAGTGACATAAATAATTAGCAGCAGTTAACCACAGATGGAGAATAAGCATTGTTCTCAAAATGATCAGGAAAGACAAACTAACTCATAGGAGAGGCTGCTTTACCCGTCTAATTTTCAAAGAAGAAATGTAACCCACAGGGGGCCTGGGAGCAGGGAGCCGAGCACTGGGTGCTGGTGGCCGGCCACGCCAGGAAGCCTGTGGTCCTCTGCACTCAGTCTTGCTTTCCTCCCCACTGGCCCAGTCACCCACCCCGGCTCTGCACAGCTGGCTTCTTTACAGGTGCATGGGGATGTGGACAAAGATGCAGGCATGTAGGTGCTCAAGTGACTTCATCCCTCCGTCCACCCAGGCACCTGGGCAGTGGTCTCTGTGTTCACGGCACACTTTGCCATGTCACCAGCGTGTGTGAACAGGTATCCTTTTGTATGCATCACGTGTGACAGAAGGCTTAAGCACACACATTACTTTTCTACAGAAACACACTAACTCTCTAGAGGAATTCCAGGCCACTTTGATCCTCTGTAGTCTTATCCGATCCTCAGGGCCCTCCTGTAACTTGGGCAGGGTGAGCCTTATTCTGGGAACACAGTGCACAGTGGCTCAGTTTGCCGGCTCCTCCCTGCCCTTTTCTCAGGGGACCCGACTCATCCTGAGGCAGGGAAGGTGCGCCATCACTGCAGAACCAAGTGGGGGTGCTGTATGTAGTAGGTGCTGTATGTAGTGCTGTAGGCCAGGTATATGGACCAGACTCCATTTTACCCTGTCTTATAAGAAACGCTTCTCCCGTGGGAACACCCGACCTCTGAACCTACCAATAGTTGCTTAGCATAACATGTTTGGCAACACAAAATGGCAATCCTTACACAATGTAAAGTTCTTCTCTTTTTGGTTCCCATTTTTCTTGGCCATGTACCCTGTCAGAAATTGATTATCTAGACATTAGTAACATCCTTTAACTTGCACTCAGCTAGGGTCATTTGATCCACTTCCCTTCTGTTATGACTGTGGACGTCCCGTGGGCAATACCAATGTGTCCCCTGCAGTATTTCGCTAACGGCTCAGCTCAGCTTCTGTACCCCTGCTTGCTTGCTTGCTGCTATGCCAACCTGGACGCAGTTTTTGCTTTTAAATACCCTGAAATGCTCAGGCTCGGGGCTGTTCCTTGCAGAGACAGTTATGGGTCCTGCAGGGAGCAGCTAAATAAAGGCTGGCTAAATAAAGACTCTCCAATTCGGACAAAATGGGCTTGGTGTTTTCTGAGCGGTCTGCCCCATAACATCAAGAGAGAACCAACTTTATTCATTATGCCCATTCTATTTGTTTGTTCTGTGGTGCTGGGGATCAGGGCCCTGGACATGCTGGGTAAGCACTCTACCACTTAGCCACACCTCAGCCCCCATGTCCACTTTAAAATGAAGGACTAGCCCAGCCACGAGGCACCACCGTCTTGGTCATTGCTTTTTAACTTTGGGGATTAATGTGGAATTTGCCCCAAATGGCTTTGAAATTTCTTTTGGAGTTCCTGATATAACCCCTTGGTTTGTGAGCCACATAAATATTCAGATGTAGTTAAGTAACTGATATCCCAAGAGAGCACCTGAAAAACGAAGTATGATTGAAGAAGAATGATAGTAAACAAGAAGGAAAAAAGAATAAAAAAATATATACTTTCCTTTCTTTGCCTTTTCCAAGTGCTGCATAAAGCACAGCTCTGTTGCAAAATGATGTCTAACATTTATTCTGGAACACATGTTGGCTGGGCACTTTCTCTGTGCCAGACACTGTGTCATGGGCATGTGCTTGGGTTGTCCCCCAGTGTGCCATATGTATGCCAAGTTTCTGCCATTTCTTGTCTCCATGCTAGCTGACTTCCACCACTGTTTGCCCTACTGGCTGTGGCATTACTGAATAATCCCACTTCCTGTGTGAAAAATGATTTATATCTCTCTCTTGACATTTGCTTCAATACCCTTTCCGTCAGGTCTGAGGGAGCAGCTCAGCAGGGGGGCACTCACCTAGTCTGCAAGAAGCCCTGGGTTCTATCTCAGTAAAGCAAATAAAAAAAAAATCCTATTGTTTACCTGCATACCTCAGGGAGGTGTGTGTGTGGGTACCTGGTTACTTCTTCCTTGTTGGTTGCCAATTTTATTGGAGCTATGATCTCCAGACAACTAATACACCTACTTGCATCTAAGAATCCACATGTCCATATATTTCTAGAAACTTCAGTGTCTGCTTACCCTTAAGTACATTAGTGCTAATGAACATTGGCATAAAAATTAACATAGCTGGGCACAGTGGCACACACTGGTAATCCCTGCAACTCTGAAGGCTGAGGTAGGAGGATGTCAAGTTCAAGACCAGCCTCAGCAACTTATTGAGGCCCTAAGCAAATTGGTGAGACTCTGTCTCAAAATAAAAATAAATTAATTAATTAATAAAAAGAGCTGGGAATGTAGCTCAGTTGGAAAGCAAACCTGGGATCCTTTCCATATTTCTATCTGAGCAGAGATCTAAAGGCCCCGTGGACAGGTATCGTGGCCGTGGCTGAGCACTTGCTCTGCACTTCTGAGTGCCATGGGGGAGATGAGGACGGCAGCTTGGCTCCTTAGGTTCTGGAAACCAGACAACCACATGGACGTCTATCACTGAAGCCAGAGCGGGGTGCCTGTGATAGATGTGGGCTAAAGTACAGCATATAAACTTTCAGCTATAAAATGAATATGCTCTGGGTATCTAATGTACAGAATAGTGACTGTGGTTAATGATGATGCATTTGTTTACTTGAAATTTGAGAACAGAGCAGATTTTAAATGCCCTCATAGCTCCATATACACACTTAAACACAAACAGTTACTGTGGATGGTAATGGATGTGCTAATCTGTGGTATTCAGTACACGTGTGTGTTATGTATATCAAATCATTCTGTGTATACCTTGCATACATAGCATTTTTACTTACCAATTAAGTATTATTTAAAAATTGCCACTTAAATTTTAAATTTTGTCACTCTCAGACCTTTACAATGGATGGATGGGGTTGAAGATCATTCCTCCTCCAAGCCTTATTCCCCTCTCCCTCCTTCAGGGTCCTCTCATAATGGGTCTGGAGCTTCTTTGGGGAAGTAGCTCCTTAGCCTGTGAAGAATGGATGTGAGTTCTGCCAGGTCGAATGGGGAGAAGGCGGCATTCCAGGGAGAGGGTGCGGCACAGGCAAACAGGCATCGAGGCTGGAGGTTGGAGGTACTTTGGGAACATGCTGTTTGGTTTATCTGCAGCAAGCAGCAAGTGCAGAAAGGGGAGGTTGGGGACTTGGAGAGATGGAGTGCTTGAGAGTGAGACTGTCTGTACTTGGGTTTTGAGCACAGGAGGCGTGTGAAGCTGGTAAGAGACCAGAGACAGGAGGCAGAGAGACTGGCTTGGTGGGAGAGTAGGGAGGCCTGAGTCTGGGTGACAGCAGAGGAAGGAGATCCAGGGACCTTGGCGGCTGAGTGTATCAGGTGGCTGTGTGAGTGGAGGTGCCGGCAGCCAGAGGACGGGAATGGAGCTGGGTGTAGGACACCTGAGAGTGGCCAGGAGTGGGCTGATCGCGGGGTTGGGGAGGGGTGTTCAACCGGTGGATGTCAGTGTGGAGGCGCAGCTGCTGAGGCCAGAACAGGCCTCCAGAGGGGAGGAGGCGTTTACAAACCAAAGAAGACCGTGGCGCACACATCTTTGGGGACCACGAACACCGAAGGGGCAGAAGAGCTTGGAAAGGTAAGAAGGAGGCGGCATCCCAGGGAAGACACAGAGGCCGCGAGATGGGGTAGCTCGAGAGCTGGAAAGTGCCCGGGAGCCCTTCCTCCTGGGGGCCCAGCTCCCAGGTGAATCCTTGCAAGGACAGCAGCCTAAATTCCGGGGCCAGGTACACTGAGACCAGGTGAGACGCCCGGGTACCAGGCTCGCCCAGGACCCGCCCCCTTCCTCTTCCAGGGAAGCGATTGGTGCCGGCGCCTCCGCGTTGCTAGGACAACGCCAGGGTCGCTCGAGGCTCCACCCCGCGCCTTCCGCCACGCCCCCGCCACGCCCCTTCCTCTTCGCGGGTGGCAATTGGTGGAGGCGCCCTCCCGTTGCTAGGGCGGTTTCCCGGCTGCCGCGCGCCCGCCCGGCCCCTCGGCCCCTTGGGCACCGCCCCACCCCTCGTGGGCGGCGATTGGCCGAGGCGCCCTCCCGTTGCTAGGGTGGCACGCAGGCTGCCCCGGCTCCTCCCCGCAACTCTCGCCCCGCCCCTCCCCGGCCTGGGGGAGCGTGGGGGGCGCGTCTCCATGGCGACGCCGGACGCGCCAGTGAGGGTGGCGGGTACCTGCTGGCTAGCGACGTGGCGGCTTGGATCCCGGCTGAGTCGAGGCCATGTCGGACCTGGGCTCCGAGGAGCTGGAGGAGGAGGGAGAGAACGCCATTGGGGTGAGCTCCGGCAGGAAGGGCTTCCGAGTGCGCGGTGGCGGGGCCTCCGGGGTCGGGCGCCGCAGCCCAGGCGGGCGACAGCAGCGGCGAGCCGCAGCCCCAGCCGGCGGCACGACCTCGCGGGCCTCCCGGGCGGCGCTGCGTCCCGGACGGCGAGAGGTGAAGCGCCGTGACGTCTGGTTTCCACCTCCCCTCGCGCTCCCCACTCCCATCCCGCCTCCCATTAAAGGCGAAGATTTCCAGGCCCGGGGCTTTGGAATTTCCTTCTCCTTGTGTTAACCACAGTGGAGGCATGTCCTTAGATGACTGGATCATCCCAAGCTGCGGTGTCGCCCTTGAATAAGTCATTTCTCTTAACTGAGCTTTGACCCCGCAGGGGTGACGTGAGTGGAGGAACGCTGCTTCCTGGCAGCCTCCAAGAGGTGCTGAGAGGCCCTGTGCTCAGGAGGGGCCAGAGACATCACCACGCAGGCCCTTACTTTCCCGTTTCCTCTGCCCTGAGCAGGGTCGTTGGAATTATTCTCTCATTTAGGCAGGCAGAGAGGAGGTAAGGTATACAGGTCCACTGATGTGACTTGGGCTTGGGCTTGTGTGGGCACATTGTTCTTCCCTAAGTCAGGGAAAGACCCCTCTCTGCTGCCAGATTGGGAACCTTGGCTTCTATGTCTGTGCCATACAGAGTTAAGAGTTCCAGAATCAACGAAGAAATCTAGCACCTCTTCTGTAATGCTACTGGTGCCTGCTCACACTATTTTTTTTTTTTTTGCCAGCTCTGGGCACCAATGTCCCAGCTTCTGCCTCACTTGCTGCTCAAAGCTAGCACTTCTATGCCTGGAGCCACCTGGCCAGTTTGAAGAACCAGTGCCTGGGATTCACACCCCCACTAGCTAGTGCAACAGGCAGAACAAGCTGCAGTGAAATCCCGGCTCCAGAGTCCTCTGTGCCACGAGTTTGAGGCTGATACTTTACCTGAAATTCCTTTCTTGCTTAGCTGCTTCCTCTCTCCTGTCTATTCTCCCTACTCTGCCTTAGGTTTCTGGTGCAAGCACTTAAAAAAAGTAACTTATTCAAGGTGTGCTTCTGGGAAGATCCAACCTACAATTCCTGTCTAGAAAGCTCTCTCGTTTGTATCCTCAAATGGCTCTATTGATTTGTATCTGTAACCATTCCGTGTCCATGATTTTGAAGTTTAGATTGTATTTGGGGTCACCTTAGAGAATTTCTCTTGATGAGCCACTTAGCAACTCAGTACTGGGTGTAGTAGGAGGCCTTGGAGGGGAGATGGGCCTTTGTATGTTTTGATGGAGACTAATCCTGAAACAAATATATAAGGTCACAAATTTTTATTTTTGGCAAGAATTTCTGGACTAAGCACTACTAGAAAAGGTCGAGAATCAGGGGGTGGCGTGTCTCTGAAGTCTTCATTGTCCTATGTCTGTACCTGAAGCACATCGAGACAAAAGCCAATTCCATGGCTTTAAAGATTTTTTTATTTTTTAATTTTTAAATAAATATTACAGTTTATATTTAAGTTCTGCAGATGATGCTGTCAGCTTCCCAGGCTAAGTTATACTGCTTCCACCATGTCATTATATGCACTCCCCACCCATGTAGTAAGTGTTATGGAATGTTTATTTTATGAAGGATAGGAAAAATAGGGGAATTACAAGCTTCTGTTTATTTATTTATTCATTTTTGTTGAGACAGGGTCCGGCATCTTCCTACCTATGCACCTGTAGCTGCTGGGATTACAGGCACATAATACCTTTTGTTTTTGGTGCTGGAGATCAAACCCACAGCCTCATGCACACTAGGCAAGCACTCTACCACTACACTACGCCTCCAGCCCAATTTACTTTTAGACAGCTACTCAATTATTTCAACTTAGGCTATGAGTGTTTGACTCTTAGTCTTGTGATAAGGAGGTTGAAAAGCAGATAGACTTTGCTGAGTTAGAACACAGTAGGTAAAGCCCCCTGTACTCCCAGCACCCTCCCACCCTTCTCCCTGCTGTCAGAATTTCCTTGCAGGGCAAAGTTCTCTTCAGGTTACAGATACTCTAGGTGCCATTTGAAGGAAGATTGACTTCTCTTGGGACATTTGCTTTTTTAGTGCTGGATTATTGGGTGATGTGAAGAAGGAGGTGTCTGCAGCTGCAGACCTGCTCCAGCTGCCTGTGCTACGGCAGAAGCATATTCCCATAAAGAGCAGAGCACATTAGCACTCTGCACACACTGGTTGATCAGCACAACATACTGCAAGCCCCCGTGTTGGGGGAAGTGAGACTCCCACATGCACTGCTGCCCCAGCTGTGTGGCCCTGGACCAGTGCTGTTTCACAGCAGGCTTGGTCACCTGCATCACCTGCATGATGGAGTAACTGAATATATGCCGAGGTTTGGGAGGATTCATTGGCACAGTATGTACAAAATGCTTGGCACGTAGTTAGCATGTAATGAATGTTACCTGTAATTCTCTTAATTTCTTTTACCCAGGAATATGAAGGGGATCGGAATGAGGCAGGTGAACGGCATGGACACGGGAAGGCGAGACTGCCCAATGGTGACACCTATGAGGGGAACTATGAATTTGGTAAAAGACATGGCCAGGTCAGAATCAGTGACTTAGGCGGGTGGTTTTCCCTACTGATTATTAGTGAATATGAAATTCAGGAATGATATCAATTATGCAATCGATGTATTTCAGGGGATCTACAAATTTAAAAATGGTGCCCGATACATGGGAGAATATATCAAAAATAAAAAGCATGGTCAAGGCACGTTTATATATCCTGATGGGTCCAGATACGAAGGTAAATGTTATCACAATCACATTCTGGTTTGCAGAGGTTCTTAGTTTTGCCTTTTTACTTCTATCTTTGAACTCATCTGTGGGTACTGTAGTATACAGAAAGCCTACTGTTCTTCATATTATCAGTCAGTAAACACAAATAGTGTTCCTGTTTTCACAGGGTTGGCACAGCAGTCAGAAACCTTGTAACTAACCTACGGACTAACTAGTGAACCTACAGTGGAAATTTGACTCTCCTTGTTGCCAGCCCACGCCCTTCTGAGGCCTGGGGACTGGGAGCACAGGCCACAGGTGTCACAGGGCTCCATGGCTCCAGGTGCTCTGTAGCATTCGTCCCCTGAAGTCCTTGCTGTTTTCCATTCCTGACAGCCTCTCTTCTGATGGACACAGGGTTTCTTCAGACCCCATAGTTCCCTTCAGCGAGGGGGCTGTCTGCTAAGTGGAGCTCCTGTCTGCCAACATTCCTCACATGCTGACATTATGTCACAGATGACTGTGCCACCTTATTTCTAGGGACCTCATTGCTGCCCCTCTGCACCGCATCCTCTAGTGTGATTGCAACAGTCATATCGCAGACCTGGCAGAGAGCAGGTGGGGAGTGGGCTGTGAACCTTTGGGAACTGAATGCAAAATTCTGTGTTCTGTCCCTTCCCCCTGGATAAAGTTATCTGCTTGTCATCAGATTTCCAAAAGATCCCAACCTTGGAGTGTGGTGATGACAGGTGATGTTGTATGGTGGCTTTGTCTTTCCTGCCTTGGCCTCCTGGCCTGCAGCCTGAGGACGGCATTAGCACATGGGAGCACCCAGAGCTCTGCCCAGTGACCATTGGCAAAGACCACGACATGACGAGGTGACAGCATCACTTCTTATTGAGGCACTGTGTCCTTCACGTGCAGCTATGCTCTTGTGTGGGTAGCTCTCTGTCACCCTGACACAATCCTGAGACCATCATTGGAAAAGGAGGAAGGCTTTCTTTTGGCTCGTGGTTTTAGTCCATGGTCATTTGGACACATTGCTTTTGAGTTTGTGCCTTTGGGGACACTTATCCAAACCATACCTGTCCTGTCCTAGATAAAGCAAGGAAAAGTGGTGATTATAGAAAGGGGATGCTGTCGGTTCTGAGACCAAGCTGGAGAGGGTATGTGCCTGCCCCATTAGAGGTAGAGTTTGTGTTGGGTTGTTTCCTAAATCTTAGAAGCCTGCTCCAGCATGAGCACCATCTGCTTTTTAAATGAACTTTAAACACTTTAGGGCTTAATTTAATTCTTTCCAATTCCTTATGAGCCCAATCTCAATCTTGTCTCTTAATTTTAGTGTGAATGCTGATACAATTCAGACAACATAAACAGTAAATAAAAAAATACTCAGAATAAGCCTTTGCAGGAACTTTTAATATGGAGATTAACCAACTAAAGGAAAACTCATATGACTCAGGACACCAAGTGCATGGGTTTCCACACCAAGCCCAAGCCGTCTCCAGCTCTGCTGACAGCTGGGCTCCCGGGGTTCCGCCCAATGCTGGCACTGACTGCCCAGAGTGAGTTAGTGTCACCCGCAGCCCCACAGGCTGCTTCCTATTCAGATGCCAGGCGACCCACTCTTCTGTCCACTTTAATGGCTAATCATGGCTTCCTGTGACCCCTTCCTCATATTTGGTGATTTGATTTAATGGCTCACAGAATTCATGGAAAAACTTTACTGTTACTGGGTTATTATAAAGGTTATTCCAAAGGAGACAGATAAATCGTCAGATGAAGAGGTACACAGGGTGAGAATGGAAAGGTCCAGATGGTCTCATAACCTAGGGGCATGAGGTGTAGTCACGGCCCAGAGATTTCTTCTCTGACTAAAGCTTAAATAAGTGTCTCATTTCACGAAGACAGTAATGGAATCTCAAGTCAGAAGTTGTGATATTGTGGGCTCAGTGAGTCAAAGACCTTCTAATCACCAAGTCTAACTGTGACTGAATGATCCATGCAGTGTACTTGGGTTAACTGCCATCTAATGGCAGATGGCTACCTGCAGGGCAGTGTGCTCAGCCTAAGGACCATGCAGCGCCAGGCCCAGGACTGGCCTCCCTGCGGCTCAGACGGGTCTGAGGAGGGTGCTGAGGAGGGTGTGCGGATCCAGAGCTGCAGGAGATGAGCTGGGAGGTGTTCCTGGGCTCAGGTGCTCAGGGGTGGTGGGAGAAGAGATTGCAGGGGTGGACGGATACCACACGTCAGAGAGGCCCTTGGACCACCTCTGTCCATTTTGGAGTTTGGGGATAAGGCCGGTTCAACCTGTGAGGCTTGAAAGGGGAAGGGGCGTCACTACTGCATGCTGTCTTGTTGCCTGCCAAACAGAACTGAAGAAAGTGCAGTTTCACAGTGAAACTGGAGAGACACGCGCCGCGATGGCTTCCTGGTGGCCTGGCTGGAAGCTCTGAGGGGCAGTGAGCCTGGACTCCAGGAGAGGGGACTTGCAGAGGAGAGTCGTGGCATTGGAACTGGATGTGCCGGAGTTCCATTCTCTCTGGGGCTCCACTGCGACTTGGGCAATGCACGTGGTCTCTGCGTCCGGCAGGCCACGTCGGTTTCTGCATGTACCAAGTGCCCGAGGCCAGCCCGTGTCTGGCATGCTGATGCTGCGTAAATGCTAGTTCCTTCTCTGTCTGGCTGGGCCTGCAGTGTTGGGATCTGGCTTTCCAGCATCTCAGAGGACAGGAGAGCTTCGTGTGGGAGCTTTTCTTTTTAAATAGTCTCTAATCCCCAGAATGCCAGACTGGGAGCCTGGTGACAATGGCAGGGTTGGCATCTGACCCCCTGCTCTCCCAGAGGAAGGCCCAACCCCAACCAGCCAATCAACTGTAGGGGCTACTCCTGAAGAGAAATATAATTATAAAACTTCTGTTGCCAGATCTAGAATGATGAGGAAGTAGAGGGTCAGTGAAAGGAGGACTTTGAAAAGAGTGAAATGCATAATTAAAGCAGTATTAATGAAGTTTCTGAATGTCGTTCACTTGGCTCATGGCCACTCAAGACGCCCCAGCAGGTGACCTTTCTCCAAACTGCCTGCTCAACTGTATAGGGCTCATTGCCCTGGGTAGAGTCTCTGACTTTGAGTAGGACTTAAAAAAAAATTTTACTCATCAGACCCCATTGGCATAAAATTCAGTGTCTTTTATAATTTAATTGGCCTCTTTAACTTCTTAAAAATGTGTGCAAAATATGTAGTACTTTTTTCTTATGGAGCTACCCTGGATCCCAGCTCACATGCTCAAGAGAAGGGAGATGTAGTCGTTTTGTCCCAGTCTTTTGCTGGGAAGAAACCAAATGATGTAACTGTTCCAGCTGAGGTGTCTTCCCCAGGGGTGTGTGGAGCCAGCTCCCAATGGCTCACAGAAGCCAATTCTGCACTTCTATATGTAGCTTGAAATTGGCCACAGCAGGACTATCGCCACCACAGAAATCGGTCGATGCTGCAAATCCAGGCACATTATTGTCCCTTAAGATGCAGGCCGCTCCTCTGGGACATCTGCACATGCTGTATGTCCTCATGGCTACCTCAGGTACCTAATGTGTTGTTTCGCGGATTTCTTAAATGTCTGACTCTGCCCCCCTTTGCTCATCTGGGAACCTGCCCTCACATCACATCTGGGAGCCTGGCCTTGGTAAGCCCACCCTTTTCTGAGCTGTTTTTCAGGTGGTGGGCTCTGCTGCTGTCCGCCTTCTATGGATGGCACACAGGCCAGCCTCTGTCCCCAAGCTGGTGCACACTCCTCCAAGACAGTGTCATCAGAACATGTTCTTCAGAAAGTACTCAGGACACTGTTGTTGCTGGACGAATTGTAGAGGGATTGAAGAACGTGTAGCAGTGCCTTCTGTGGATAGACTTCGGGTCATTCCTGGAAACACACCTTGTGGGTGGGTGACTGGCATCTTCTGGGCACACCCTGGGCTCTTACTTCCACGTGGGTGTGTGTCCAGCGTTCCTGCCAGCCAGGAGCTTATCCAAGTTTGGGGGCCCTCATTACCTTAAGAAAAAGGATGTAAAGTTGGTACAGAAGTGAATTTCTACTGCTAATGAGAAATAAGGATACGTCGAACATTTAAAAATACCACCACAACACAGTCCAAGGGTAACTGAGGTTTTTAATTGTTTTTATGGTACTGGGAATCGAACCCAGGGCTTCCTGCCAGTAATTTTTATGAATTAATATCTGACACACTTCGAGACCAGTTTTCCCACCATGGTTATCTAATACTTTCTGAATACCTCTCCATAAGAAAACAATTTTGTAATATTTTTATAGAGATCATAGAAGGCTGATTTCATCTTTTCTCATTGATGAACATATTTATCAGACTTAGCTGCTGAGTTCTCATAGTCTAGGAAAGCTCTGTTCAGCTTAATGCTTTGGTATTGGTGATAGGTCAGTTTTTTCTTTTTCTGTTCTCACAGTGCTGGGGGCTGAACCCAGGGCCTGGTGCATGCTAGGCACATGCTGACACTAAGCCCCCCGCCCCCCCACCCCTGGGGAGGTGACCGTGGGAGCCACAGGCCTTCTCACTTTTCCAGCGCAGGCTTTAGTCGACACTCTTTGCTCTAGTCCTCACTGCAGGGCTGGGTCGTGAGCCTGCGATGCCGTTGCCAATTTCCCATTTCCCATCCAGTCTTCAGGTAATTAGGAAGGCCAGTGTGGAGGTGAGTGGGCAAGGCCAGCAGGCCAGGGAAGGGGGCGCAGAGGACTCTCTGAGCCTGGAGGCTCGGTGGGTGGAGGAGGGAAGCTGGTGAGTGCCGAGGCTAGACCCCTGAGCTCGACCGACTTGCCGCTGGATGCCGAGGGCACAGAACGGAGCGTGGCATCAGGATCTCCGGCAGCAGGCCAGACAAGCTTGGCTGGATCTCGCCATGCCCCTGCCTGTAGGTGCCGGGGGTGACTGTGGCCCACGGGCACACACTGCAGCAGACCTGCCCAGGGAACCCAACCCAGCTCTCTCTTGGCTGCTCTCCAAAAGGCTCAGCCACCACATGCCAGCGGCGCAGGGAGAGGGGCTCAGAGGAAGTCAGAGGAGCCCTGAGGCCTTCACCCCTGGGGTTCAAACTCTCTCTTCTGTGGAATTTCCTGAGCCCGTGGCTCAGGGCATCATTCCCTGCTTCTCACCTGGGCCTGCTTTTGTGTTGTCCCTTGCAGGGGAGTGGGCGGACGACCAGAGGCACGGCCATGGCGTGTACTACTACGTGAATAACGACACCTACACCGGGCACTGGTTCGCTCACCAAAGGTTGGTCTGCCCTCGGCCTTAGGGCTTATTCTGGAATAGGAACACGGTGACAGATGTGTTCAGTTGCTAGGGTTTGTCAGCAAAGTCGTGACCAAAGTCCACTTCCAAGTGTGTATCTTAATGGCCCGTGGGAGGTGCGGAACCCCAAGCTTCCTCTGTTTGGACCCAAATGGCTTGTGAGCTGGCCTCCATCTAGGCCGTCCGTGATTTCACGGTCAGCCCTGACCCCGGAAGTTCTTTCAGGAGGTGAGGTGATGCACTGGGCCCTTGTCTTAACCAGGCACGGGCAAGGCACCTACTTCTACGCAGACACGGGCAGTAAGTACGTCGGCACCTGGGTGAATGGACAGCAGGAGGGCGCGGCCGAGCTGGTTCACCTGAACCACAGGTACCAGGGCAAGTTCATGAACAAAAACGTGAGTCTGTGGGAAGGGAGAGCTGATGATGAGCTGGGCAGTCGCCCCTTCCCTAGCCCTGCAAGTGGGATGGAATGGAAAATATGAAAACACGGGGTGGACCGCTGTGTCTCTAGCCCGCTGACGCCCAGAGGGCAGGGGGTGGGCGGGGCGGGGGGGACACTGGCCTGCTTCTCTGCCTCAGTAGCTGTCCCCTCATCCTCCAGCAGAGCCCTGTGTGTCTTTATGACACGACGTCCTACCCTCTGGTTCTATGTGTCCCTGCTTCCTGGTAGGTCAGGCATCCAGTCTTTATTTCCCGGATTCAGTCTGTGGATGCTTTGGCTCTGTCTCCCCTGGGAGGCAGCCCTGGGGAGCAAGACCCCTGAGCTGCCTTCTCCTGCTGCAGGCCAGACCACCCCCAGGGCGGGGCGGGGGCGTTGCAGGCTGGCCAGAGTGCCTGCCTGGCTCTGGAGGCCTCCTGTTTGGCCGTTTCTGCTCGCAGAGAGCTGGCTCTCACAGGGTGCGAAGGAACCCTGAGGAGCTCAGAACCTGCCACTTGGGCATTCGACCAGATCCAGAGTAGAAACTCCCTGACGAGAGCGTCTGCTGAGCAAGTGGATGGGCTGGAGTTGACGCCGGGGCCTTTGGCTAACGGAGTGGGTTCCCCTCAGGCTCTGAAAGTCCACTCAGGCTCTGAAAGTCCACTTGTCCTTTGCACGTCATTTGTGCCCTAAGCATTGATTTGGAAGAATCAGTAAGCTAGATGAGGCTGATCTGAGAAACTGGAGTAAAAATGCAGGCTTTGTCCTCCAGTTAGAGGACACAAGTGGCCAGTTAAGGTCACAAGTGGCACTTGGGGACCTGGGAAGGGAGGGTGGAGTCAAACCCCAGCCATTTCTGCGTGACCAGCAAGGAAGGCCCCTCTGCTCTCACCTTTACCAGGGAGGTGGTGCTGGAATGACCAATCTGCTGTTGTCTCTGTTTCTACTTTTATTAGCAATTTTGTCTGTAAAGGCCTCCTCCTCCCTTGGCTCACCTGCACACACCTGTTCTATAGATAGAGGTGTCACAGGACCCTAGAATTGCAAGGGAGCTATTTAAACTGACGGATTATAGCCCTGCCTTGCTGGGAGGGTTTAGGTAGGTTGGGCCATAGAGCATGGAGGCTGTCTGAGCTTTCACACCACAGTGGTTCTGCCGACCGGCCACAGGCGGTAGTTCCAGCAGCAGGAGCACGCACCTGCTCACCAGCACTGGCATTGTCAGGGGCAGAGGTGCTCCTGTTGCTCGCGCGTCTCCCTGGGCACTAGTGAGCTGGAGCATTTTTCACAGCATTAGTGCTGGTTTGTGTTTCTCAGAAAATGGCTCATTCATGTCCTTGCTGACAAGCGGTATCAACAGTGTGACCCGGGTGGAGATATAAAGAGGCACAGAGAGTCTGAGGCAGGTCCCAGGGGACACTGCACTCGAGTGCTTGGTGTGGCTTCATTTCAAATTGATGAGGGATTGACGGGGTGGCATCAGCAAGAGGCCTGGGACAACTGGGTGACCATGTGGGAAAGAAGGTGTTCAGGGTTCCCTCAGCCTACAGAGGTGGGTGCTTCCCAGGAACGAGGAAGAGGCTTTAGTAATCAGATCCATTTATAAAAGCTTAGTAGACTTAAATTCATAAGAATAATCCTTTATAAATAGAAAACAGTAAAAAGAAAATTTAGGGGATGAATGACAAAGGGGGTTAGAATATGCACAACTTTTAATATATAAAGCACGTTCCTCCATGTGATTTAAACAGTCCCCATAAACACGTACAATCATTACACGTTAATCGAGGATTTAAAAGATTGTTTGAGGAGATAGAAATGTTAACTACTCTCATTTGATCATAACCCAAAACATACCTATGTGAAATTATGGTAACCCATTTATACAATCAAAAACTTAATTTAAAAATCATGAAAATCTTAAATACCTTTGCTAATAACCTAAAAGGTATAACTTAGAATTATGAGATTTCCAATTATTACATAAAAACCATAAAGATAGAACAAAATGTTAATGTTTAGGAAGAATAAGGGTTTGAGGACTTGGAGACTCACTCTGTAGAAATGAAAATTATTCAAGCCTCATTCTGGTTAGAACACATGAATGTTTTAGTCCGGGAATTCACTTCTGGAGATGTGCCTAAGGATGCATCTCAGAGCGGGCTTGCTGTCCTCCCTGTGTCAGAGGAAGACCCTGGCACAGCCGGTGTCAGCAGCGGTCACCGAGCCAAGGGGGTTCCCTCCCTCAGGTGGAGGACAGCCAGGCTGATGGCTGGCCCTGTGGCGGGAGGTCTTTCTAGGGCACGGATGGAGTCACATTGCAGTGTCATAGTGTTTTAAATGACCCTGTCTACTAGCAATGGGGTCACAGAGGAGGTGTCAGCACGTGGGCAGCGGCCCTCTCGGGAGTTTGCCTGTGGGTCAGGCTCATCAAACTGTAGGTACGAATAGGGCAACTTTTATAAACTAGTAAAATGTGGCTGAAGTTTTACACAATTACTAGACAGGACACATACGTGGCAATCCCGCTGGACCGGCCCGGGGACGTGGTGTGGGGTGGGCTCTGTGCTGGGTGTCATGCCTCGAGAGTGATGTGCTTTGGGGTTCTCTTTGCTCGTAGCCTGTCGGCCCCGGAAAGTACGTGTTTGACATCGGCTGTGAGCAGCATGGCGAGTATCGTCTGACAGACACGGTGAGTGGAAGTGTGGCTGTCGTCGGCGTGCCCAGAGGAAGGGCTGGGCAGTGACGCGGACCCTGCTGGTCGGGGTGATTTGTGAGGGGCGCTGTGCCAGCTCTTCTTGGTCTGCGTGAGCTCGGGTGGGACTCAGCCACTAGGAGTGCTGAGCGTCATTTCACAGTTGTGCAAGTCCGGACCTGGGTTTTGTGAAGAGGAACCAGCTAGTCCTGAGTTGGAGAGTTCTGGACAGTGTTAGGTACCAGAAGGACAACGAAAATCTGTCACCAGTGCCACCACAATTTGTCTGGTTATTTGTTCATGTGTTGGGTGTGCACCTTGAATCTTTTAAAGCCTGGTTGGTAAATGATTTTTTCTTTCCTTTCCAGTATTTAGCATTGATATCAATACTAAATTGATGTTCCCTGGTGAACATTAAAATGAGCCAGGTAATATCACCATCATGAGGCCTCTAGGTACGGGTGTGTGTTGGGGGTGATGGTTTCATTCCTGTCATTAATGTCTGAGTGGTGCCTGTGCCTAATTGGCAACTTAGTGAAATTTCCTGACCATGGTGCTAGTTTTGAGCCTTGGACTTGCTTATTTACTGATATCATTCTCACTGTGAGAAGTTCTGAATTTTTCAAAAGAGATTGAGCCTGGAAAAAAGTGTTGAATTGTGTTTTTGTTTTCTTTTTACACAGGAACTCTGAAGTTCCTATGTACCCTTTCCTAACGATCTAAAAATAGATTGTAAGCACACTCTCCCATATCCACATATTTTCTTTCTTGAAGAGAGCTGGAGAACCGAATTCTTGGTGTCAACCTCCACACCAGTGCAGTGGTGTCTCCCGTCTGAGGGGCTCTGATCCATGCCCCCCAGTGAATACCTGAAACTATGGATGGTGTGGAGTTTGTATACACTGAACTTTTACCTGGATGTACACGGTTACCCTGAAGTTTTATTTATAAAGCAAGAGGTTAGCATGGCCAGAAATGAAATGTAGCAAGCATGACATGAGTCTGTATACAGTTATGTGGATGTTGCCTCACGCATACCTTGTTGTACTACAGTCTCAGTGACCTTAACATATTATTTTTTTCTTTTCTTATTGAGAACTTTTTCCCTTAAATGAAGCACTTTGCAGTTTTTCTTAAACCTATCCAAATCGCCAGCATTTGGATATTTCTGTGATTTGGGGCCATTTTTAAGTAAAAGTAAGAGTCACTTGAACACTGTGAGACCGTGATGGACAATTGGGTCATCTAGACAGCTACTGAGTGAGTGATGGGTAGGTAGCATATACAGGCTGGACACCGTGGATGAAGGGACAATTTGGTCCCAGGTGCAGCAGGGTGGGACTGTTGCATGAGATTCCATCACACTACTCAGGAGGATGTTCACTTTAAAACTTACTAGTTGTTTATTTCTTGAATGCTCCATGTGATGTTTTCAGACCAGGTGGACTGTGGGCAACTGAAACCGTGAAAAGTGAAACTATGGGTCAGGTGGGCTGCCGTCTCTCTCAGCTGTGGCTGAGGCATTTCAGATTGACTTGCATCACCCATGGGGACTGTGTCGCCCTGACTCTTCTCCACCACTTTCAGGTGCTCATGAGATGAAGGCAGGTCACCCTTGCTCACTGAGGGGCTCTGCTTGGCCCTGCTCAGGGCTCCTGCCTGACATCATCTGTAGGGAATGTCCTTCCTTTACCCTCTGCTGGCCCCAGCTTAAATCCTGACTGAATTCAGAACCAGTTTTTGTGTTCAGTGTTCAGATAATTTTCAAACCTGACTTTCTCATTTTTCTCCTTAAACTCTCTCAGATGCTAAAATTGAAGGCATCTTTGCCCCTTAACCTGCCATGGCTAGTGGATGCTCAGGCCCTCCTAGCTGTCCCCTGAGTGGCCAGGGACTGCGTGGTCTCCAGAGCACCTGCTGTTGGCCTGACTCCTCTCCTGGGGTGCTGCCCTTCCTGTGCCTCTCTCTGGCTATGGCTACTCGGTTCCCCCAACCAACCCACTGTCCTCTGTGGTCTACAGAGTAGTTGTCCACCTCCTTTCAGTGACCAGGATCTTCTGTGGTCTCACACAAACCTTCCTCTTAGCTGTGGGTCCTGCTGTTTTGCTTTGGATCCCCTCTGATGCAGCTAAGAGCCACCAGCCAGGGTCAGGTCCTGGCTAACCAGAAATCGACAGGCTAAAACGGAGGCCTCACCACCCCGAGCACGGTCTCTTCAGGGACCCCAGGTGCTTCACTCAATTCAAGGTGGCTTCCACAAGCCATCTGCATCTGGGAGAAGTGGAGGGGAGTGGGACGTGTTGTCCCACCGTGTGCTTCTCTAGCAAGCTGCAATCATGTTTGAATGTGGCCACGACACACAGTCGGAAAAGCAATCAGCCTTATTGTGCAACATGATGGTGACACATTTGGTACATTTGCTAGGCTCCCCGGGGTTGGGCACCTCCCACCTGTCCCCCAAAAGAACCTGGTTGTGAATCTAGCATGTTGCCCCCACTGGTAAGAATCAGCCTGTAGTCCTACTGTGATTCCACAGGCATGCCACCAGGGGCAGTGCGGAGAAACAGCCAAGTGGGGGCCCTCCTGGCACCAGTTATCAGAAGCCCGTATTTCAGAGTGATGAGAAAAACAACGTCAAGAACATCTAAGGGGCATTCACACAAGCTCCTCATACCATTGCTCTTCGGGGAGCACCACCAGGAAGCAGTGCTCACCCCTGAGACCTCCTTGTAAAATAGGCTGCCATGGGTGCCAAGGACCATGACACAGAAAGCCTAGCTGTCCTGTTCCCCCAGTGAGGGGACCATGTCCCCTGCATAGGAGCCGGTAAATCAACTGAAGTGCTCACAGTCCACGGGACAAGCCTGGCCCACCTCCTGTCCTTTTAATGAAATCCTGGATTTAGCCAGGTGCGTTGGGACACTTGTAATCCCAATGACCAGGGAGGATGAGGCAGGAGGATCGTGAGTTTGAGGCCAACCTCTGCAAGTTAGGCCCTGAGTAACTTAGTGAGACTCTGTCTTAAAATAAAAATGTTTAAAAAGGCCAGGGGATATAGTTCAGTGGTGTAGCTCCCCTGGTGTCAATTCCTGGTACCGAAATAAAATAAAATAAAATTGTGGGTGTAATGTGTTTGTATAGATCTGTAAAACAAAACTTGCTTATATTTTATTTCTTTGTGGTGCTGGGATTTGAACCCAAGGCCTTGGATGTTGTAGGCAAATGCTCTACCACTGGATGACACCCCAGCTCACCATTTTTTTGAGACAGGATGTCACCGTGTTGTCCTGGCTGGCCTCTGACTTCTGCTCCAGTGACCCTTCTGCCTCAGCCTGCCATGTGGCTGGACCACACACCTGCCTGCGTTTGGCCATTTCTACAGTTCAGTGGCACTAAGGACATGCTCTGAGTCTTGTCCGCCGTCCCAGTGGAAAATGCCCGCCTGGCAATGGTACCCTGTCACCCCTCCCGCTTCCCCAGTGGCACTGAACCTGCTTTCTGTGCCATGAATGTGCTCTTTCTAGATAGTGTATACAAATGGACTCACACAGTCTTTGTCCTTCTGTGACCAGCTTATTCACTTGACAAAGAACGTAGTGTTGTCCTCCAGGGTCAGGCACATTGTGGCCAATGTCAGACTCTCCTTCCGTTTTGTGACAGAGTGACGTTCGTTGCCTTGTCGGACGGGCTCATCCATGCTTCTGTTGATGGTCGTCATGGGCTTCTGGCTTGTGGCGATCGTGAAGGATGCTGCTGTGAACGGGTGTTCCAGGCCCCGTCCGAGTGCCTTTTCCAGTCTTGGGGTGTTACCTGGGGGCACCGCAGGGCAGCATGGTGTCCTGCTGCTTAGCTTTCTGAGGGGCTGCTGGATGCTTCCTACAGCAGCTGCGCCGTTTCCCTCTGCCCAGTCCTGGGAGAGGGGCCTACCTCTTGTTTTTGCAAATAGATTTGTTGGCACTAGAACCCAGCCGCTGGCCCACGGACACTGCCTACGCTGCCTTCACGCTGCCAAGGCAGAAAAGGCACCTGATGCAGTCGCCATGTACTGGTCAGGGCTCTCTAGAGGGAGAGATCAACAGGAAGGATGATTATAGCAGGGGGACTTATTAGGCTGGCTCACGTGACCAGAAGCTGGACAGTCCACAGTGGCCGCCTGCAGGCTGGAGAGCTGGAGGAACCAGTAGCTGCGCAGTCCAAGAGGCTGAAGCCCCAGAACAGGAGGGATCAATGGTGACACTTGTCTGTGACCTAAGCCTCCTGGAGAATCACTGGCCGAGTCCCCTTTGGAAGAGAAGAAGGGAGAGTCCAATATCCTCAGAGGATCCTCAACAATCAAGGACCCGTTCAAGAAGAATGGAGCTTGCATCTGTTCCGCTCCCTAGTTCCTCCAACTTTTACTCCATTCAAGCCTCCATCCTATTGGGCGGTGCTGCCCACACCTAGGGAGGGTCTCCATTTCAGTTGGCTGTCCCACATGCCAATCACTCCTAGATACACCCTCACGGACGCATCCATGATCTTATTCATCCTTGGCATCTCTTAATCCAGTCAAGTTGACAACTCGAATTGACCATTACACACTGTAATGGCCCCCCAAATCTAAAACCTTTGTTGCAACCCCTCCGGGTCATTAAATTAGTTTAGCAGACTGTGAATCACAGTTTGAGAAACAAATTCATAGAATAGAAAGCCTCCAGGGGATCTTGGTGGTAGAGACCAGAGCACTGGGCTTGTGGATGTGGGCCACACTGCTGGAGGTCTCCGGTGGACCGCAGTACCGCAAGCAGCTGTCCCGCACTGCTCTCCATCCCCTGGTGCCTGTGGTGCAGACTTGTCCATGGCTCCTCTTTGGCCTTCTTGGGGAGAAAATGACATGCTTTTAAGTTTTGATCTTTTTTGTTATTAACTACTTCAGATAAATCCCCCCCACCCCTTTCTAACAAAAGTCCTGTGTTTAGTGGTTCTTTCTAAATGATCTTCCCTCCCTCCCTCCTCCCTCCATTCCTTCCTCTGAAATGATATGCCTCGCACCAGGTTCCTGAGTGTGTTAGTTTGCCAGTTTTAGTTTGCTGCTTTAACAAAACACCACAAACCGGCTGACTTAAACAACAGAAATTAAACAACAGAAAATTTTGTTTTGGGATGGAGGTAATAATTTAGTCCATCACACCAAGGAGACAGAATCCAGGAGTCTGGGTTGTGCATGCAAGTTTTATCGGTGCTCTGGGGTCGGTGCTTTGAGAGGGAGTGAGGGAAGCAGGTTGGGCAGAAGTGGAAAGGAACTCTCAGGTGACCTGGGGAGCTCTGAAGCTGGGATGGTTCCTCGATATTTGCTGAAGGGCAGCAGGGACCAGGCAGCAGGTGTCTGCTGCCGTGGACAGTGGTGTGGGGCCCCCGGCTCTGCAGCATTTCTGGTGGAGGCTGTTCCTTGGGAGGGACTCAGTTATGAGCAGCTGTTGCCACTGTGGCCTCCCAGCAGCGGGAGGCAGGAGCTTGGGATCCTGGTGGAGGACGTGCTGGTGCGTGGAGGGCCGCTGCCCCTGGGGAGGTTCCCAGAGTGGGGACCCTGGACCAGGAGTGTCAGTGTCCATGCGCCTAGAGGCCGCCACCCAGACTACTGAATCGTACGTGGACTCTGCAGGTGGATCCGCGGTCTGGGTTTCAAGGAGCTTTCCCGGTGGCTCTGCTGCAGGTCAGGTTGAGCCCTGCGGTCCTGGAGCACTGGTGTCCCCTTCCTGGTGATGGAACTCAGACACTTTGAATCCAAGTAGAGTAATTTATTTCTGAGCGACTCAGAGGAAGACGAGTGTTGCTCTTTCCACAGGTATTACCATCTGTGCGACAGTGAGACTGCCACATTTATAGGGTTGATGCTCAGCTTTTTGAAATTTTGTGATAATTACAGAACTGAGAAGTAGACAAATATGCTTGTCAAAATTGACATATGTGGGCTGCCAACAATTGTCGGAATTACATGTTGTTACAAAACGCTCCATGTTTAGAGATGCTGATGTCTCCTTTCGCTTTCCTGGAATGCTGTTGCCCAGAATTGTTGACATTAGGACTTCCATGTTTACCCCTCTTGTCACTCTCGGGGCTTGTCTGATGCTGATGTTCTTTCTGTTGTTTATATAAACACATCAGAGCCAGCGTAGAGGTTGGAGGGGACTTGCAGCCTGGGCTGTCCCCTAGCTCCTGCCAACAGCTGGGACGCCGGGCCTGGGAGCTCACGGGGCCTGGAAGGCAAGCAGCACTGCTTGGTCTTCCTTCTCGTCTCATGCCGGGGTGGCGGGAGGTTGGTCTGACCATGGAGCAGGGTCACCAATAGGCTCTGACAGTTCAGAACCTGTCCTTTCTTTCTTGGCTTTTAATGTTTCAAACCAAGGTTATATAAGTGTGGGTGAATTTTACATTTTTGTACTTAAAACAGGAAAGAGGAGAAGAGGAGGAAGAAGAGGAGACATTAATAACTATTGTCCCAAAGTGGAAAGCTACCAAAATCACAGACTTGGCCCTGTGGACACCGACCCTCGCTGAGGAGCAGCCCCCCACTGAGGGGCCGGGCCAGGAAGAGGTGGTCGGAATTGAAGGTGCGGAGCCCCAGTCCGTGGGAGCCGCGCGTCCTGCTCACCTGTGTGGTGGGCTCCCTGGGATGTGGCCCGTGGGCCAGTGTGGTGTGAGGACATCGTCAGGGTGATCATTTGGGATCAGCTACCCTCAGGGAGAGGAGGCGGAGAAGACAGGATCCAGGGGACGGAGGAGCATCCCACGGACGTGCAGGCGTCAGCTGCCCGGGGTTCCTGTGACCCCAGGCGTCAGGGGCAGCACGGCGTGTGCATGTTGGCCGGGTGACTGACAGTGCTGGTGACAGTTCCTTCCTGGAGGAAGATTCAGGCAGCACTCCCCCCACCACAGTGTCACCCAGGGTGTCGTCCACATGCCACAGAAAGTGAGGGGGGCTCTAACTGGGTGACTCCCCCCACTTGCTAGGGTTGAGAGCCAACTCAGTAGAGAACAGTTGGATCGGCACTGGCTGATTACTGGTTCCGATAACTGGAAAGTGAGTTTATGGGACAAGCTCAGGTGCAGCCGGGTCACGCCAGCACTCTCTTCCCTCTGGGATTAACGGTTGGACTCTACTGACTCGTTGCACAACCAGCTCAAGAGCCCCGAGGCACAGAGGGTTTCTCTTTCTCAATATTCATATCCAGATCCTCAGAAGGAGACGGCCATCACGAGCCACTTGCTGCAGTGGGGCTGGGAGTGCTGTGTGGGCCGGGCTCAGGCTGCAGCTGGGTGGCGGGATCCTGGAAGAGAGGGAGGGCTGCTCTCGGGAGGAGGGAGGGCCACGCCAGGGAGCTTCCCGGCCACTGGTCACCTTCTTTTCCCGCTGTCCTCACCTTCTGGTCCTTGCTTTGTGTCAGGCCGGGGAGAATCAGAGGAGGAAGCCCAGGATATGCCCGAGGGTTATGAGGGTGAGATGGAGATGTTGAGGCCGTTAGGCGAGGACCAAGACATCTACCCGGAGGAGGCCGGGGAGTACGGCTACGACCTGGACCAGGGTGAGGGGCGCAAGGGCGGGGGGCATGAGGGTGGGGAGTGCGAGGGTGAGGAGCGCGAGGGTGGGGAGCACCAGGGAGAGGAGCACCAGGGAGAGGAGCACGAGGGTGAGGAGTGCGAGGGTGAGGAGCGCCAGGGAGAGGAGCACGAGGGTGAGGAGTGCGGGGGTGGGGAGCACCAGGGAGAGGAGCACCAGGGAGAGGAGCACGAGGGTGAGGAGCGCGGGGGTGGGGAGCACCAGGGTGAGGAGCACCGGGGTAAGGAGCACGGGGGTGGGGAGCACGAGGGTGGGGAGCGTGAGGGTGGGGAGCACCAGGGAGAGGAGCACCAGGGTGATGAGCAAGGAGCACCAAGGTGAGGAGCACCAGGGAGAGGAGCACGAGGGTGAGGAGCACCAGGGAGAGGAGCACCAGGGAGAGGAGCACGAGGGTGGAGAGCACCAGGGTGGGGAGCACCAGAGTGAGGAGCACGAGGGTGAGGAGCACCAAGGTGAGGAGCGCGGGGGTGGGGAGCACCAGGGTGAAGAGCGCGGGGGTGGGGAGCACGAGGGTGGGGAGTGTGAGGGTGGGGAGCACCAGGGAGAGGAGCACCAGGGTGATGAGCAAGGAGCACCAAGGTGAGGAGCACCAGGGTGGGGAGCACCAGGGTGAGGAGCGCGGGGGTGGGGAGCGCCAGGGTGAGGAGCACGAGGGTGGGGAGCACCAGGGTGGGGAGCACCAGAGTGAGGAGCATGAGGGTGAGGAGCACCAGGGTGAGGAGTGCGGGGGTGGGGAGCATCAGGGTGAAGAGCACGAGGGTGAGGAGCACGAGGGTGAGGAGCACCAGGGAGAGGAGCACCAGGGAGAGGAGCACCAGGGAGAGGAGCACCAGGGTGGGGAGCACGAGGGTGGGGAGCGCGAGGGTGAGGAGCGCGAGGGTGGGGAGCACCAGGGTGGGGAGCACCAGGGAGAGGAGCACCAGGGTGGGGAGCACGAGGGTGGGGAGCACCAGGGAGAGGAGCACCAGGGTGAGGAGCTCGAGGGTGAGGAGCGCGAGGGTGAGGAGCACCAGGGAGAGGAGCACCAGGGTGAGGAGCACCAGGGAGAGGAGCACGAGGGTGGGGAGCACCAGGGAGAGGAGCACGAGGGTGAGGAGCTCGAGGGTGAGGAGCGCGAGGGTGAGGAGCACCAGGGAGAGGAGCACGAGGGTGGGGAGCACGAGGGGGAGGAGCACGAGGGTGAGGAGCTCGAGGGTGGGGAGCGCGAGGGTGAGGAGCTCGAGGGTGGGGAGCACGAGGGTGAGGAGCTCGAGGGTGAGGAGCTCGAGGGTGGGGAGCATGAGGGTGAGGAGCGCGAGGGTGAGGAGCGCGAGGGTGAGGAGCTCGAGGGTGGGGAGCGCGAGGGTGAGGAGCACCAGGGAGAGGAGCACGAGGGTGGGGAGCACGAGGGTGGGGAGCACCAGGGAGAGGAGCACCAGGGAGAGGAGCACGAGGGTGGGGAGCACGAGGGTGGGGAGCGCGAGGGTGAGGAGCACCAGGGAGAGGAGCACGAGGGTGGGGAGCATGAGGGTGAGGAGTGCGAGGGTGAGGAGCGCGAGGGTGAGGAGCTCGAGGGTGGGGAGCGCGAGGGTGAGGAGCACCAGGGAGAGGAGCACGAGGGTGGGGAGCACGAGGGTGGGGAGCACCAGGGAGAGGAGCACCAGGGAGAGGAGCACGAGGGTGGGGAGCACGAGGGTGGGGAGCTCGAGGGTGAGGAGCACCAGGGAGAGGAGCACGAGGGTGGGGAGCACGAGGGGGAGGAGCACGAGGGTGAGGAGCTCGAGGGTGGGGAGCGCGAGGGTGAGGAGCTCGAGGGTGGGGAGCACGAGGGTGAGGAGCTCGAGGGTGAGGAGCTCGAGGGTGGGGAGCGCGAGGGTGAGGAGCGCGAGGGTGAGGAGCGCGAGGGTGGGGAGCTCGAGGGTGGGGAGCGCGAGGGTGAGGAGCACCAGGGAGAGGAGCACGAGGGTGGGGAGCACGAGGGTGGGGAGCACCAGGGAGAGGAGCACGAGGGTGGGGAGCACGAGGGTGGGGAGCACCAGGGTGAGGAGCACCAGGGTGAGGAGCACCAGGGAGAGGAGCAGGAGGGTGGGGAGCACGAGGGTGAGGAGCACCAGGGAGAGGAGCACCAGGGTGGGGAGCACAGGGTGGGGAGCACGAGGGTGAGGAGCACCAGGGAGAGGAGCACGAGGGTGAGGAGCACGAGGGTGAGGAGCACCAGGGAGAGGAGCACGAGGTGAGGAGCACCAGGGAGAGGAGCACCAGGGTGAGGAGCACCAGGGAGAGGAGCACCAGGGTGAGGAGCCCGAGCGTGAAGCCAGAGCCACACGCAGGCGGAGCGTGGGGCTCACCCTCCTCCCACCATGCAGTCCTTGGGCCAGGCCCAGGGGCCTGGAGGGGCCGCAGAAGGCCCACTGTGAGCTCAGGGGGCCCTCCCACAGAAGGCTGCTCCGGCTGCCTCCTGCTCAGCAGGGCTGCCCGTCCAGGATGCGGTGCTCACTCCTGCTCTCCCAGCAGGGCAGCCCTGGCTCGGGCCCCTTGGAGACAGGGTCGTGGCTTTTATTGTGTCAGGTGGTTTTTCCATATACTCAGGTTTCCCTTTTCTTCTCAGGAAACGTGAGCTTTGAAGAAGAAGAAGGCAGACAATCAGATCTGCAGGACTGAGATCCAGTGGGGCAAGGGTGCAGATTGCAGCAGGTGGCGGGGTGGGCAGTTAGGGCCAGTCAATCTTTCTTACTTAGTCATTTGTTAAGTTGGTTTGCAATTGAAATAAATCTTCCGGTTATCTTTTGTTTCTGAAGCAGTCTCTGCTGCGATTCTTTGAACTGTTTCCTCCAGCTTGGCCCAGGGTTCCACCAACTGCCCCCATACGGAAGGAAGGTCGAAGGAAGGTCAGCCATAGATAAGTGTGGTGTGGGCTCTGACCCCACCTACCGCCATCCTTACCCCCTCCCTCCTCAGGCCTCCCTAGTCCCTGAGACACAACAGTATTGAAACAAGGCCCGTGAATGACCTTGCAATGTCCTTGTCCGGGTGTTCAAGTGAAAAGAAGACGAGTAGCTTACATCAAAGCTGGAGGTGATGGAGCCTAGTGAGGGAGGCCTGTCCCAAGCCAGCAGGTCCCAAGGCAGCTTGCTGCCAGCAGTGAGCCAGGCTGTGAACGCAGGAGATGACAGTGCTACCGCAGTGCACATGCAGGTGGGGAGGAAGCGAAACAGGCCACTTGCCCACCTGGAGGCCAGCTGTCTGGATCGACGACAGTACCTAAAGCTGATCCAGAACCAGGCCCAGCTCTCTCCAGTTCTGTGAAGACTCAGCAGAAGAAGCTGGCATCAGGTCGCCCCTGGAGGCAGCCTAGAGGGTTAGGAAATAGTGGGTGCATGGTGACATGGCACAGATGCGTCCATCTGCTGCACTGAATGATGACTCTCAGTGTGGACACAGGCCGGCGTTGGAAGAGGCTGCTGAGAGGGGTCTGTGCCCGGCTTCCAAGCTTCCAAGGACAGGCTGACTCTCCCCAGGGGCTACTGTAGCGGGTGAATGTAAGTCGAGGCCAGTGCTTACTGACCACCTGTAATGGAGGGCCCTTGGGACAGCACTGGATCCACCAGCTCATACTCTGGGAATGGAGCAAGAGGCCTGGAGAACAGGCCTCTCTTTTCCAACACGGTCAATATTTTAAGTCCACCATTGAGACCTGCTGCTCAGAAAAAAAGATTCTTTCAAATATCACTGCTCATTGACCAAACACCTTGTCCCCAAGAGCTCTGGTGGAGAGGGACACAGAGCCCCCATGTTGTGTTCAGGTCTCCTGGCACAGCAGCCCTCTGCACCCGGGGACTGGGAGTCATTCTGACTTCAAGTCTTTTTTTTTTTTTTTTTTAAAGGTGGGGGAGAGAGACAGAGAGAGAGAATTTTAATATTTATTTTTTAGTTCTCAGCAGACACAACATCTTTGTTTGTACGTGGTGCTGAGGATTGAACCCGGGCCGCACGCATGCCAGGCGAGCGTGCTACCGCTTGAGCCACATCCCCAGCCCACGTCTTCTTGTTTAAGAAGCGTATTCTGTAGGGCTGTGAGTGCCCTTGATGGTGCCTCCTCTGATCCGGGCAGTTGAAAACCTTCTGGAAGGGTTCCCATTCCGGATGTCAGTAAGAACATTCGTGGTCAGGGGAGGGGGGCAAGATACCTACACTAATGGGAAGAAGTTCATCCTGACCCTCACAGGGACTTTGGGGGGCTCAGGACGGTGGTGGAGAAGGAACTGTGCAGGTGGTGCACGCAGCAAGAGGCCCAGACTGAGAAGTGGAGCCTGAGGACGTGGCTGGATGGCTGCACCTCACAGTGACACTTCCACAGGTGAGAAGTCACTTCCTGTGAATGGGCAAAGAGCATGTTTCTTGAGATGGAACCGACTTCTGGGAGGATGCTGTGATCAAGGTGGTGTGGTTGAGGATTTAGAACAGTGCACCCGCGGGGTCGGAAGAGCAGATTCCCAATGTCCTAGTGTGGGCACGGTGCTGTCCCCAGCCTCCGACGCTACAGGAAACCTGTCCTGAAAGGAAGAGCCAATGCATGCAGTGGACCTCACCGCTTCTTGTTCTGAGAAACTTCCAGGCCGTCCAGCTTTCCGCAGCTGCCCCCCGCGTCAGTCGGGCACCATCAACACGAGGCAAGACCCTCTACCAGCAGGACGATGTGACTCCCGAAAGGCTCAGGTGACTATTAGCATGCTTTAGCAATAAAGAATCTTTAATAACAGTCTATAGATTTTTTGGGACCATGCTATTGTACACTTGCTTATTTGATGGAAGAAAAAACACAACTTTTATATGCACTGGAAAACCAGATATATCAAGGTGACGTGCTTGACTGTCATCTCTTTGTTTTGGTCTGGAACTGAACCCACGGCGTCATGAAGGTGGGCCTGTGTGGTCGACCTGTGGTGAGCAGGTGATCCTGGTGATGACTGGGGCCCAAGTTCAGGCCCTGCAGGCATGTTGGAGAAATAAGATTTTCCTAACCTGCCATTGCTTCTGGATTTATTAGGCTGTGCAGCACAGAAGAGGCACTTCTCTCCCGTGAAACACCAGAGTCTCAGATAGGTGCTAAGTAGCGGGGCTTCAGATGGTGACCAGATTGCACTGGGGTCTCCTCTGAGATGTCAGTGTGGACTTGGCCTCAAGGTATCAGGCCAGGACTAGCTGTGCCCAGAAGGACACCTTTTGGCCAGAGGTGGCTTCTGGTCCTTTTGCCAGATTAATCCTAGAAAACATCATTACAGTTTTTCAGTGTTTTTTTTTTTTTTAATATTTGGTAATTTATGTAATTTTAAATTTATAAGTTACAAAAATAGTAAGAGAAACTCCTATATAATATACTCCTTACCCAGATAGAAATTATCTGCATCAGGCCCTGTTTGCTTTATTTTGTAAGTTTATTTTCATTTTTATTTAATAATTTTTATTGGTGCATTATAATAAGACATAATAGTGGGATTCATTGTGACATATTTGTACATGCATGAAATGTGATTTAGTCAATTTCCATTTGTTTTATTTTCTCTGGAAGAGAGAGGAGTGTGCAGAGAGAATGTACTGTGTGTGTGTGTTACAGATATATTATTTTTTGCAATCATCGGAGTGTAATATAATGCCTAAGTATTTCAGTGTGTGTCTTATGACAACAAGAATACCATCGTACTATAGTCAACAAAACTAAGAGATTCCATGTCAGTGTGATTTGATAGAATCTTCCTAATCCACATAACCCACAGGCATGGTCACATTAACTGTCCCCACAGCGTCCTTTTTAACTATGGCATTGGGCCTCTATTCCTGTGCTTCTCTGGTATTTGCCTAGCTGCCCTTGTGAAATGTCTGGTCACGTCTTTCCCCAGTTTTTCTGGGGCTCTCTTTTATTTTTGAATGGACAGTTCTTTGCCCATTCTGCCCTTCATCAGCATGTGATCTCTCTGGCCTGTGGCCTGTTTGTTTTTGACCGTGGCTTGATGAGACTCAGAGCTTTGACATTTTGAGGACTCTAATTTGGGTGAGTCCCATCATGGACTGGAGACCCTCCGGCTCTGGCTGTGTCTGTCCCTGGCACTCGGCTCACCTTCCCGCTGCGGGGTCTCCAGGAGCGCATGCTGGGCTCTGCTGCCAGCCTGGGGACCAGTGTCCTTGGGGACCCCCCAGAATGGCACCTGACCTTTCTCCTCCCCTGGCTATGCTGGCCTTGCCCACAGTGAGTGCTCTGCCTGACTCCTGACCCTGACGCCCTGCCTCACACCCCTCCCCTCCGCAAGGGTCCTCCCCTCTGGCTGCTGGCAGTCCCTCCTCGTGTCCTGCCTCCTCTGCATACCATCTCCTAGTGCTCTTTGGTTTTCTTTTCTGTTGTGATTATTGACATGTATGAGTTGTAAACATCAATGAGCTGTGACATTTACCTACGTGCACTGAGCACAGCTGGGTGAGATTCCTGGCTGGAGAAAGCCCAGGTCACCATGGCCCTGCCTCAGCTCACAGCCCCAGGATCAAACACCGCTGCCGCCGAGAGGGGCGTCACCTGTCACCACAAGGTCCCGGCCACACTGGAAGCTGATGTACTTCCTTAGATAAAGGACTGGGGCCTTGTCCAGGTGTCCAGTTCCAGCTCCTCTCAGGGCTGGGAGACCACCTGGTGTCTCCCTTTCCATCTAACTTCTGTCTTTGCCCTCTATTCCTTACTGATTATTTCCAGACTTCTCATACCTCTGAGCAGGAATCTGCTCTACGGGGTGCTGGTAACCATGGCGATGATTTGTTTATTCTTGTATGCCCTTCACCATGATTTGCAGTTCATGTATTCAGCGGGTATTTCCTGGAGGCCAACTGTGAATCAGGCACTGGGCTTGGGGCTGGGGTTGGAAGCACTCCAAGTATTCACGATGTGAATCCTGTTTTATAGAGTTGGCAGTGAGATTGTGGCAGTCAGGCAGCGTTGGCCATATTTGCCAATGAACCAGCCTTTTAAAGACTATTCCTGTTTAGCGCTAGCGTCTTGCTGTCCCTGGGTGTCGGGTGAACGCACATTTTTGTTTTTTTTCCAGTGCTCTGTTCCTGCCAGGCGAGCTGTGTTCAGCCCCTCACGTCCATGCTGTTGACAAGCCCTCTTCCCAATCGCCAGGTTTCCCACATTGTGGTCCAGTAGATGAGGAGGGGAAGCGTTGAGTCTTGGAAAAACTGCAGGAGTTGACGGAAATGGTCAGTGTTATGTTGGAGAACAGCTCAAGTCAAAATAAGGGTGAATAGTAAGGCACCTGATAGTCAACAAAGGAGCCCCGACGGCGCCTTCAGAGCAGAACAATTCAGTTCAAAGGGTGAGGAAGAGCTCTTGGAAAAGTAGAAGTAAAATAAACGTTTTGTAGCAATGACGCCCTTGATGGACCACTGTGAACGTCAGGTAAGCCAGACGTGAGACCAAAGATGGCGCATCACGGTCTGTGCAACTGGTTGATTGTGCTGGCCGGGAACACAGGACAGCGCCAGCCCACTGCCAGCTTGGGTCTGCTCTCCATTCACCTGGGGGCCGAGTGGTGGAGTGTGCACGGCTTACCTTTTGGTAAACGGCCTGTGGCTAAACTACCCCTCGTTTATGACTGTTGATTCACCACGACAGACCCTAAACCGAGGCCTACCCTCACCACACCTTGCATCATGGTTTTTGTTTGAGCTTCATTCACTTGGGGTGCTCTGGACTGTTGTTTTGGGTTGAGGAGGAATTCCTGACATATTGGTTTTTGTGACTGTCCCTTGGCC